AGTCCCAAATGACCTTTCCTCCCCAATTCTCTAATTTCACCTGGCCACTTCTTTGCCTTGCTATGCATGCAGCTCCATACAATTCTTCAGGGATCAAGTCTGTCTTAACGTGAGAGTCTTGCCTGCTACTCTTACTCCAAACTTGAACTGCCTAATCCAGTGCTTGGACCTAGACTAAACATTCTACTTCCTCTGGCAAGGTCAGACTACATCCAACGCTCAGTTTGGTACCTGATTTTTCCTTCAATGTGGACCAGCAGGAAACAAACAGGAAGCGACTATGCTGACCACAGAGAAAAGACACACACGCCTGTCTGGAACACTACAGAACAGGATGCTTTTAGATACTAAGACTGTGTTGAAATTTTTCACGGTGCTTTGCCAGAAGTGTATCTGAACCTGTCAGAGGTGGGCCCCGCTGTAACCTGGACTTACTAGCATAGTACAGGTCATTATTTATGTTTCTAAAAATCAGTAAACTAATCCCTTAAGAAGAAATTTTCCTACTATATAATATTGTCATTTTTCTTTCTTTTTCTTCTTTCTGATACCATGGATTAAATCCAGGGGTACTTAATCACTGACCCACATCCCCAGCCCTTCTCCCTTCTTCTTTCTTCTGAAAGTATTAAGAACTATCAGATTAAAGAAAAACAACACACAAACTACATATCATTTACAAACAAAAATATTGTATAAATAACTGGGCACAGTGGCACATACCTATAATCCCAGTGGCTCAGGAAGATCACAAATTAGAGGCCAGCCTCAGCAACTTAGCAAGGCCCTAAGCAACTTAGTAAGGCCCTGTCTCAAAATAAAGAATAAAGGGCTGGGGATATAGCTCAGTTGGTAGAGTGGTTTGCCTCACGTGCACAAGGCCATGGTTCAGTCCCTAGCACCAAAAATAAATAAAGAATAAAAAGGACTGGGTATATAGGGCTGGTTAAAGTGCTTCTGGGTTCGATCCCCAGTACTCAAAAAAATTATATGAATAAGTCATTTGACATAGTTGAGGCATCTCCATCAGCCACAAAGCCTTACCTAGGCACTGACATGTGTTTCCCATGCTTGCAATTCTTAGACAAGAATGTTATTTAACTCTGAATCAGTAACATTTACTTGTACTATTCATCTGCATTGGCTCCAAGAGGTCCTTGTTGACCTACTCCTAGACTAAGTGGTTGTGAGGAAGAAAAACAGCAGGTAGAAGCTTAATTAAGGCTCCAAAGTTCGGTGGCAAAGAAGCAGTCATAGTTCTGAGATGGAAAAACCTTTACGAGAAGAGCTCATGATCTTTAAGTAACATTAGCAAGACCCTAACAAAAGCTCATGGTTGGATGGAGGATGCAGCTCAGTGTAGAGCACTTGCCTAGCATGTACGAGGCCCTGGGTTCCATTCACTGTGACCACAAAAACAAAAACTAAAACCTTCAAGGTCTAGTACCTTATAAATAATTTAAAAAGGCAATTTCCTCTACTGACCATGGTTTGATGTTGCTAAACAGAGGCAGCACCAGAGAGCTCCTGATGCTTTGAGAAGCATAACAAAGACCCTCCAGGTGAGTGCAGGTAGGTGTGTACAGAAATCTTCGGTTCATTCTACAACAAGCTCCCCTTGGCTATAAAGCAAAAAATCAAGGTTCTAATTAGGGCAATGGTGTTTTCATTGGATAAAGCAGGTCTTTTTTCAAGGTATAATTTTCATACCGCAACATTCACCTTTTTTGGTGTATAGTTCTATTGGTTTTGACAACTTCATATAGTAATGTGACCACTACCAGTGACGAAGTAACACAGCTTTATCATCTCTCCAAATTCCCTCAGCCTTTGCAGCCTGCCCTTCCCTGGATGATCTGTTCTGCTTCTTCCCAAATGCCACACAAAAGGTATTATACAGTACATAGATTTTTGAGCCCAGTTTCCCTCACTTAGCATAATGCAATTGAGATTCATCCACCTTGTTGGGTAGATCAGTAGTTTGCTCCTTTTTATTACAGCAGTTTCTTTAGGCAAAATAGCTTAGTGATCAATAATCAAATGAAATAAAAATATGACCTAGATACATAACCATAACTTTCCAGTGAATTCAGAGTCACATGCAAGTTTCTACATTACATGAGATATGCATGTAAAATGTCTCTATTCATATACACTCCCCAAAAGCCCACCTTGTAGAGCTTAGGGAGCACAATTCAGATCACAATATTATGACAACAGCAGTAATGATTTAAGACTCAATGCATTCATTACATTACCTTTGTTGTGGTTTACCTGCCAAGGACTCTCTGGACTCAAGGTGCTTACAATATAGAGTTCTAAATAAAGAATAGATTGAGGAAATTGATATTTTTCAGGAAAAAAAATACACAAAAAACGTCCAGGTGGTAATCACATGCAGCGACTCCTCAGACTGGGTTTTCACGATTCTAACTATCATGATCACGGCCAAGTCATCTGAGCCTCTCTGGGTTTCATTTCCTTCCACAGCACCTGTCTCCTTCCCCAATAAGGAAGAAGCATCAGCCAGGATTTGACTGCCTATATGGTAATGCCATAGTACTGAACACTCGAAAAACAACATAACAACTTAAGAACCACCACTCTCTGTTGCTAAGGTAAACAGAAGACACCTCTAAGTGTAGATGTTAGAGCAGATGAGTAATACTAGCATATCTCAGTGGAAAGATCTTCAGGCACCTTGAGATTGCAGGGTAGACCAATATTCTAATTAGGTATTTAATTGGGGTCCTCATTCTTCCTACCCCAAAATTACAGCTTTTAAACAATTAAAAAAGACAGAACACTATGCTGTCATTGATTCCATCCACACCTTTTCCCCAGGCATAGGTAATATGCTTTAAGCTTGATCAAGCTGTTTAAGGCTCAGACAGGGAAAAATTGAAAGAGTCCATTTTATGAAAAATTTTTATATAAACATGCAAAAAGCATGACTAGGAATCAGATAAATATAATGACCATAAATATTTTACTCTTTTAACCAATGTAACTTCCCTTATATATAGAAAAATAAGCTTTTTTCCTATATATCTAATCTTACCTTCTATAAGTAATTTCCCTCCATCCCCACCATGGGGTGTCTCTAACTACCACTGGTTAAACCTTCTTCCCATTCCCCTTAAAAAGAACAGTAATAAAGAGTTAAATTAGCAATGCACTAATAGGAGAGGGCATGTGGAATGAGCTGTAGTTGGGGCTGCAGAATAATCTGAAAGAGATCTAACTTGAAGGCAGGTGAGGAATAAAAGGCACTAAACAGCAGGGGGCTTTTTTTCTTACTTTTTTGAAGGGGAGTTTCCTGGGCTAAGAAGGGGAGGAAAGAAAGATCCTGAAGGAGACAGTGGTATTTTCTTTGGGGAAGGGAGCCAATAAGATCTAAGCCTCGTCTCTGGAAAAGGAGTTTGCATAGTTGGATAAAACATTTTCTGGAAGAAACTTTGAAATTCTGAATTTCAGTTCGCTGTTGTCCGACAGGAACCTCAACTCTTCTTCAAGCTATAAAATATTATAGTCTATTATGATGAAGTTACATGTCACTTCATCAAATACTTGATTCTTCTGAACAAGGAAGAATCATTTTCCTTTACTTAGCTGAGTAAATGTGTGCGCACACACAAACAGATCAAGTGCCATGTGTAGTCAATGAAGTTATTAATAGCTAATAAAGTCTGTAGATTTTAGATATCTGCCTGAGTAACAGATGTCAGGTGTACAATTATAACAAAGTAATCTCATTAAGATCACTTTATTTTGTTACCAATAGCCTCCTTCTACTTATTCCTTCACAGTATTAACTTTTTCACCTTTACACAGCCTCTTCTAGAAAAGCAAAGCACAGTAAAAAGGAATGATGGAGAAATGAGTCTAAAACCTGTAAGCTAAATGCTAACAGTGATGAAAACAGAAAAATAGAGTAGACTACTCAAACAGCACATCCCTGTGGATTAGTAAAGGGAGGTGGGATGAGGAATGTCCTGAAGGTGTCAGTGCAGTCACTACCACCCCACAGAAGTGAGCCAGAGTCCTCAGTAGGGTTCCTGTGACTTAAGACAAAAGGTTAACAATAGAGTACGACTCAGCAGTTGAAAGAAAATTAAGGCTGATTATCTCCAAGCTTTCATTAGACTCACGATAAATTAAAAAGCCAACTGTGGCTATATTTTCCTCCCCTAGAACGTTCTCCCAATCAGTGACTAAGCCTGATTTAGGAAAACAGGACTGGAATAAAAGAATAGTCAGGAAGCCAGGTCTGAAAACACAGTTACAACTGTTTAAAGGTGGAGTCCCCCCCACTGGTGGGGGTCAGCCAGAGCTGGTGGCCCACACCTGTAACCAGATACAACGGCAGGCTAAGGCAGGGGATGGCAAATTCAAGGCCAGCCTTGGCAACTCAGTGAGACACTGTCTCAAAATAAAAAATAAAAAGGGCTGAGGGTGCAGCTAGCTCAGTGGTAGAGTACCCCTGAATTCAATTCCTAGTACTGCCAAAAGAAAATATCAATTTAAAGTTTGAAGAAAGTGGGCAAAACTGAAGTCTAGATAATTTACTTAACTTGAAAAACTCAAATAAATTTACTCTCAACTCCAGTTTTACAATTTCTGCCCTTACTAGACTCCTTTTATCTTACAACAAAAAATCTTTATATCAGTGCTTCTCAAAGTGTGGAACCCCAAGCAGCAGTGTCAGCATCACCTGGAAACCTCTATGAAACGCAAATTCTCAGGCTGCACCCCATACCCACTGATTCAGAAACTTAGAGGGCAGAACTCATTATCTGTCATACAGGGTCTGAAAACCTCTGCTTCAGGTACTATAAATGTCAAAGGCACGGGAGTTTGGATTTTGGGAACAAGTTACTTAAGTCTGAAGTGACAAAGGGACAAAGACAAGGAAAGTCTATTATGTAAATAGTGTTTCAATAGCTTAATTTTTAGATTAAGGCCCAACTTTAATACTCGGTGACCTCTATAAGTAGTACCTTCCAGATGTTTCAGGAGTGCTCTACTGCTGTTCCCATGAGCAGATATCAGAACAGTTTTTCCCTTTAGTACTTCAGGAGCAATTCTTTCATTCCAGTAGGGAAGGAGTCTCTCCAGGACATCCTTTAAGCTTTCAGACCGTGGCAGTTGATCCAAGGGTACATCGCACAATTTATACCTCCGGTCACTGTAGATTTCATGGTAGTAGGGATGAGACTCCTCAATGGGAGGTGGGGTCACATTGTAGCTTCTTCTCCAGAGCCTCACCTGTTCTTCACCATGATTCAAAGCCATTTTCTCCCTGTTCAGCCCAATCAAGGCTCCATAGTGACGCTCATTCAGACGCCAGGAGCTTTCCACAGGAACCCATTCCTGCCCCAGCTCTTCCAGGATCAGCCAGGCTGTGTGGATGGACCGATTAAGGATGGATGTGAATACGAGATCAAACTCAAAGTTCAGTGATTTGAGCTGCTTCCCACAGTTCCGGGCTTCCTCCACTCCTTCGCTGTTAAGTTTCTGATCCACCCAACTACAAAATCGGTTCTCCTTATTCCAAGCGCCCTCTCCATGTCTTAGCATAATAAGTTTATACTTGGACATACTGATGGCTGTGGTTCCCTGACGTTTTCGAATGGGATACTGTTTAAGGACAGCAATACATCTAGCAAGAGAAGAACAAAAAGTACAAGTTATATTCTTTATTCAAATGACTACCTAGGAAAGGAAGCATAGTTTTACAACAACCAGTATCTAAAATAAACTGAAATTCCTTTGAACAGTTTTGATGTCAGACATCCGGTATTCATCTACTGTAGTGCATACAAGCGTATTCTCCAGACAATTAATTACAGACAACATAGTTGACTTATATTTTCTGATGGCTGGATAATGTTAATTTTATGATGTAAACATGTAAACAGAACACTTCATTCTCATGGCATGCTGTGTTTCTGCCAGATAAAAACGTAGTTTATGCTTATAGTAGAGAGGATTCAATAGAATGAGTTATAGATGTCTAAAAACATGACTAGTAGCTGGGAACTCCCAGCTCCTAGCAGCTGACTCTACATCTAAGGTACTTTGTTTTTCCTCCAATGGAAAAGAAATATTTACCAGCCTCACCTTCTTATTACAGAAGTTATTAAACAGGTTATCTCAGTGAGCCACCACATAGATCTGGTATACATCACTGTCTGGTGGCAACCAGCTCTTTTAATTCTATAAGCTACACCATGTAAGAGCAAATTCAAGGTACACAAGACACACTGGCTCAATATTCAAACATGAAAAGTGATTTTAGGTGACACAACCAAATATGGTGTCACCGAAATAATCTTTCACCTGCCTCAAGACAGAGCTATTGGCAGGAATAAATCCGGATGCAAAACAACCTATCCAGTGCAAGTGGCTGTGAGATGTGGCCTGTAGAAAGAGATTAACAGGAGCAGGTCTGTGGGAGGGAGAGGAGCCACACTGATAAGGAGGTACTGCCTCCTCCTCCCCAACCCTGCAGATAAAACTACACACACCAGCCACATCTTAGCAGGAGAAGAATCTAGTAAAGTGGGACATGCAGCCCTAAAAAGTGATTTTGAATTCCCTACATTCAAACTGCAGGCCCAAAGATCTATGGGTCCACTCTGTCCCCTGGAAAATCCGCAGATGGGCTGCGTCAGCCGGCCTTCACTCTCCTTGCAGTGGACATATCTACACTGACAAATGTGGCTTGGTTGACATGCCTGGCACTTTCCGCCTCCACCCCAGTGTTTTTCCACACTGGGGAGCAAAGATTATAAGAGCATCAAGGCCTGGTTTTCTGCCATTCTTGGCAATTTCCATTAACTGGAGATTTTTTGTCCCACTTTAACTGAGATTCACAGACAGTTATATAACATCACTGACAAAGTTCACTGGAATTTAGGCCTAATTTCTACTTTTCTTTAGTAATTCCTAGAGATTCTAAAGTATAAATGTCTTTTAAATAAGGCTGCAAGACTCAGGAAGGAAATCTGGTTGAGGTGATTAGCAAGTAGCTGAAAGGCTACTAGTTAGGATTGTGATGTCCCTTTCTTGTCAAGCATCAGATTTGAAGCTTTGGTGCACATGTAGCAAGAAAGTCCCAGGTGACTAGAAGGGACAGTGCTCAGGGCTCAGGTGAAAGCATCTCACAGGGCTGAGAATCTCTAGGGAGGGAGTACCATGTCCCTATCTTCAGCCTAGGAGAGGCATATCAGGCAGAAGAGAGAAGCTGACAAAAGCCATCTGGGCAGTGCTTTGCCAGGTGACTGCCTGTGTCCAGGAGCAGAACTTTCATGAGGTTAATGAAGCTCCAGCTTCAGGTCCCCTCACTCAAAAGAGACAAAGCAATACATCCAATGAATGGGTACTGGGGTGTGTGCGTGTGTTTAAATTGCAAAAAAAGACATTTTCTTTTAAAACCCCAAATCCACCACATAATAAAGCTTCAGGCCAAAGGAAAACTGTATCCACCCTTTGTAACCACTTACTATTTTATTTTTTGGTAGTAGTGGAGGTTGGAAAAACAATAAGCAAACTATCAACTGTACCTTTACCTCAACCTCAGTTTGTCATGTCAAGAGAAGCCACCAGGCTGAACAGCTAAAGAATCTATTTCTCTTCAGAAGAAGAATGTGGTGGACAAATTCCATAGGCAGAAACCCTTCCCCATCCTCTTTTGACTATGGACTACAGCAAGGGAACAAAACAATGTAGCAATGAATACTCAGGCAGCCACCACCAAGCTTTGCAGGATCTAATCTGCTATACTGGCTTATTTTGTTTAAAAAATTTTTTACTCAAAATACATATACTAAAACAGAAAATAGCCACAAAAATGATGCAAATACACATATTCCCTCACTGTGTGGTCAGGAGGTGAATATATAGGCTAAATACCAAACCCGTAAGTCTATCTCAGGTAAATGAAAACTTCCTTCCCTCCTCCTTGGTACTATCAACTGACTTTCCCTATTTAACTGTTGAATGCATGCAAAGGAGCTCCTGAGGAATACATACACCTTAGACCAAGCTGCATCCAGACCGGTGCTAGTCATGTTGTATCTCTAGAACCTACCATGTTATTTGAGGCATATGAGGCACTTAGTAGGTCTGTTGACTGAATCAAAATCAGTTAAGACACATGTTACTAAATTGCATTACGGAGGAAAATGCTTAACAATCCTGGAAGTAACCGCCCAAGTAAAAACAGTAGTTGGCAGAGCTGAGATGTTGGCAAGCTTGAACAAAAGAATCCCAGTGTATTTCATGGCAAAACAGAAGCCAAGAATTATTCAGTATAGCTTGATACAGTGAACTTTTATACTGTAAGTTTAGTATGTTCACAGATGGCCATAACCTCTACAAAGAAAATGGAGGTTCTGTTTAACTTGTCCAAAAACATATTGTCACTAAATGGCAAATTGGGACTGTGATCTAGGTATTCTGCTTCCAATCCCTGTACTCCTCCCTCCTCACCAACAAGGACTCTGGAGTCTTGGTCTGGGGATGTGAGTTTACTTGGCTTCACATCATAGGAGAATCTCTGGTTATAACCCCTTCCAAACCCAGGCTACCATTTCATAAAATGCATATAACAAAGAAAGTATAAAGGAGGGTTCAACCCATCACTGCTCTTGAGATGAACTTCAAGGCACAAAGTCAGGTCAAGCAGTAGTTGCCCCAACTTACGAAGAGGTAACTTACTAAGAATATATGCCTCCGCTGGCCCCTCCAAATTAAAAACTACTACTTTTAAAACCTCGAGCTTTGCTTTCCACTTTATTTTATTTTTGGTAAAGCTCACCACCATGCAGTTTGCTCTCAAGGTTCTTCATCTATCCTATAGCAAGAGTTGCTGACACTTAAGAACTAATTTCCATCAATAATCAAGTAAATTTCATCAATAATTACTTCATGCCAAAGAAAGGCCACACAGGTTATAGGGATTATCATTCCCCAGAATTTCTGCCTTTTTAAAGTATGGTTTGGCTTGAATTAAAAGTTTACTAACCAAATGTCTTTTACATGACTTGTCCTCCCTTTCTTTCCTCTCGTTTTTCCTTCCTTTTAACCATTACTTTCTTAGTCCCCTGACACCTAATGTGTGCCTTGACCACTCTATAGGAATGTCTCTCAAAAGGCTGCAGATTAGTCACTTCTTACTAATCGCAGACGTTCTTAGGACTCACACCACTTTGACTCCTATGAAACTGAATACTTCCATCAGAAAACAAATTTGCTAAGCTTTCAGTGCTGCAGTTCCTCCAGCGCTTCTATTGTTACATCCTGTCTTGGTCTCTGTTACCCACCTGTGAAGTACTGTGGTGATGATCATGATGATATTAATCATAACAGCTAACATTCATATGGTACTTACCATGTCCTTGGGATTGTTTGAACCCTCAACCATCATTCCATGGAGTAAGTTCTATAATTACTCTATTTTACAGATTCAGAAACACGAGAAGAGGCAGGGCTGGAATTCAGTCTCAGACTGGGCCCCCAAAGCCTATACCTATGCTTTGAACCACTCTATTCCACTGCCACACATAAACCCAAGGGTCTGCCTTCAGTGTCTTTGGAAACCCAATTTTTCTCACTCCTTTAATTGCACTAAAATGAATGAATGATATTCCCAAATATCCTTCAGTCTCCCCAGCCTAGTCAATTAACACATTCTGCAACATGGGTTGCAAACCCCATTAGGGCAGAGCACAAGTGTAGGCTTGTGAGGAACATGGACTCCAACACAGATTATGTGTTCAACAAAGCAGTAAGGAAAGGTGATGTGATTTTTTTTGTGTGTGTGTGTGTGTGTGTGTGTCTGTCTAAAGTTGAAAGTAATTCACACCATGAGAAGTACTTCAATCATAAAGGAGGTGGGAAGGGAGAGATTCTTTCTGAATAAGACTTTATAGACATGGCACTATAAGCTGGATTTGAAAAGTTATTTAAGATTTAGATTTATAGAAAAAAGGAAAGGAATTCTAGCCTATGGGGACAATGAGAGGAGTTAAAGGAACAGGTGCCTGTACAGAATAGTAAGCCATTCAAACTAGCTGGGGTTATAATTAGGGTGACGATACATTCTGATTTGCCTAAAACAGGCCTGTTTCCTCCCCCAACATTATTACTAGGGCCCCTTTCACACTTAAATGTCCCATTTGGAAAATTATATGGTCATCCTAAGTATAGGGTAAAACCAGGAAGTAGGAAGAGACTAGTCTAAAAAGATGAGACTGAATAGTGGCCCTCCTAAGGAGGACCTCATGCCAAGGAATACAGGTTCTTCTATAAATACTGAGACATCATTAAAGGTTTAACAGCACAAATTTTAGGAGGATCAGGCAGCACTTACACATACAAAGAGAAATAGAAAAAAACAGTAGTGTGAATATTAGTGGTGAAGTTTTTACAATAATTCTGATAACACATAATAAAGACTTAGATTATGATTATGGCTGTTAAAATGGGAGAGAAATAAATGTGAAAGACACTAGCTCAACTCAGATGTTAGCAACTTTTTCTATAAAAGGTCAAATGGTAAATTTTTTAGGCTTTGTGGGCTATAAGACCTCTGTCATAATTATGCACAATTGTGTAATTCAGCCGGTGTAGCCGAATACAGCGGTAGACAATACACAGATGCATAAAGATGACTGTGTTCCCAAAAAAACTTTATGTATGGACTCCAAAATTAGAATTTCATGTAATTTTTGTGCATTAAGTATTGCTGTCATTGAATTAACTTCAACCATTTAAAATGTAAAACACATTCATAGCTTGTGGGCTTGTACAAAATCAGATACTAAGGCAGAAGGTCTAGGTATGCAGATCCCCCAGCATAGCTGGATCCCATACTTGGATCTACTAATCACATCAGCATTTATTATTTTAATTAAGTATCCTGTCTCAGGAAACTACCAACATTATTAAATCACCAGATTTTATTTTTGGCCAGAAATGCACAGTACCTTAAATTGAATCCTATTCATAACTGTTTTTATTTTTCACTGAAGATAATACTGAGCATATTTGAATCAGTTTGAATACCTGACTTTTGCTTAGCTGAATTATTTAGGAATAGGTTTAAGATAGAACTATGGATAAAATGTGATTCATCTTGTGAACTTCCTTCAAAATGTAATCTGTCACTCAGGCATGATTTACCCCTATAAGACATCTCCATAAATTATGGCCCAGTGCTTCCATTTCAGGGGACTGCATACTTGCTTAAAAGTAAGTGCTATGCAATTGACTTGGTAGAAAAGAAATAAATAGATGATTCAAAGGACAACCTGTGAAGGTGATTTATGATTTTTGAAAACCTTTCACTAGGGGCTGGGTTATAGCTCAGTGGTAGAGTGCTTGCCTCTCACATGTGGGGCACTTAGCACCACATAAAAAATAAATAAATGAAGTAATGATATTGTGTCTATCTTAAAAAAAACTTTCACTATATGTGTATAGAAATTCCATTTAGATTAACTATAAAGCAAAAAAAATTTCCATAAATGCCACCATTGCATTTATTGGGCAAGGAAGGGACAGAGAGAGTGGACCTAGGAATGATGCACATGCTAGGCACTATAATTACTAAGGTTACTTCATAATATTTTCAGAATCTCAGAGTAGTGTTAATATACGTAGCATGGCCATCTTGCTGGTGCTTCCTACTCCTGTCTCTTATTAAGCCATATAATTTCACATACCCTACTCCCCATACCTGGGGACCGTCATATTTTCCAAATTAATATTCCTAGGACTTTGCTTCTTCCCTTCCTGAAGTGTTTCAAAATTAATGTGTGAGACTCCAGTATCACAAAGCATGAAAACGTAGGGCAAATTACAGGGTCAAGTCCAGCCTAAAAACTAGGTTTTCTTCCATTTCCAAAAATTGGGCAAGAAACTTAATTAACAATATAATGTTAAATAATATAAAATAAGGAACATAGGCCCAGAATAACTTTAATCCAAAGCTTATACTTGAAGATCAAATACTCATATTGTTTTCCTAGACCACTCAGATATTATCCTTTGTCCAAATCCTCACTGTACAGCTTTGAGCAACTTTTAACCCCCATTGAATTAGAAATATAACTTTATAGAAGATGGGCTGGCTATATTTGAGGACTGAGAAAGAAGTTAACCATGTCTCTGATGAATTAAAAAGGAACAGTTCTCAAGGGAAACTAAATGTGGTATTTAGTTCCTTGGAGCGTCAGTTATCTTAACCAAATATGCCTTCCCCTCAAATCAAGTACAATACCAAATGTTCAAATATGACTGTACCTAAAGGTACTTAATATTCTATGAACCATTATTTTCCCTAAAATTTTACAGTCGCTTTTCCATTTGTATTTACAGTAATAAGAACATCTTTGGCTGGGCATGGTGGTGAATCCCAGTGACTTGGGAGGCTGAAGCAGGAGGATCACAAGTTCAATGACCAGCCTCAGCAATTGAGCAAGGCCCTCAGTAACTTAGTGAGACCCTGTCTTAAATTTAAAAATAAAAAGGGCTGTGGCTATGGCTCAGTGGTAAAGTGCCCCTGGGTGCAATCCTCAGTACAAGGAAAAAAAAAAAAATCTCTTCACCAGGAGCAAATACTCTCACTCATGGTGTTTTTCAGACTATTCTTAACTTATATGGTATTCTAACATTCCCTTAACTGATCAGAATGATAAAAAGCAATAGGAGGTAGGATCCCAATCATGGGGAAGAGATATAAATATGTAATAAGATGAGAATTTGCCTGGGCCATGGAGTTTGGTTCAGCCTGCTTGGTATCACCAGTGTGCAAAACGCCCACTCAAGATCCTCTTTCCTATCTCTGGTTATTTACTTCCCTAGGTTAGTAACTCTGTCAATACAAACTGTTTCCCCCAAATCCCAGAAAGTGTGAAATCAAAAAATCCAAACACGAACTCACTCTTCTGCTTCTTGACAGTATGATCTTGAATAAATTCTTTGGATCTCACGTTCCACATCCATAAAATGAGGATAACAAAATTACTCTTCTCAAGGAAGTGTTAAGAGTATTAAATGAATTATGGGAAAATGCTCTAACAAAAAGTGAGTGGTAGAATGGAGCAGACACGGACTAACTCATGAAGACTGGCCCAGTTCCTAGGCCCTTCAAAGCAATCCTTGCCTGGCTGATGGTACTAATAGAAGCAAACTTTGGGAACAAAGCACAGTGATGGGTGAGGTTAGAGAGAAGTTTAAATAGTAAAAGGAAGAATGCAATCAAATGTGGTGGATGGAAGAGGGTGATGGAAACAGACAGTCCTAGAAGCATACTAAATACCAAGAAATATTCTGCAATTCAAATGCTTTAGTAAAGTGGTCAATGTTTAAAAAAAAGCATATATTTTCCCACATTTGTGGCCAAGCTTCAAAGAAAGGGTTCATTATAAATATCTTTTGTCCTGTTTCCCCATAAAAACATCCTCTCATACCAGATTTCATTCCAAAGGTATTCAAGAAACACTGCAATTCAAACATTTTCATATCCTCTGTTCTCTAGGCACCAGACACACAAAGACAAACGCACAGGTGAATTTAGATATATCAATCACTACTTAAAGTGGAATATACCTTTTAATCTCAACCAACTGTAGAAAGCAAAAGAGTAAGAAAGACTAAAAGATTTACTGAAACACTAAGAGTGGTTGTCTCTGAGTGGTGGGATTAAGCATTGACACCTTCTGCCATATTATACTTCTTCTGTGCTCTCCAGATTTTCTACAGTGATCTACTTGATTTGTTTTAGTTTACATATGGAACATGTTCTTGAAGCTGGGAAGTCTTATTTGCTAACAGATTTGATACAGAATTTACTGCAATATGATTTCACTTGTATATCTGTAATAAAACTATCACATTTATTTTAAAATATACTAATATAGGCATGGGCCCCAGAAACAATCTAATGTAACTTCTGCTTTTTAAAGATGTGAAAATTAAGAGTCAGAGTTGAAACGATTTGTTTCAGATCACACAAATAAGTAACAGCTTCAGGACTAAAACCAAGGTATCTCAACTTCTAATTTGGAGTTATTTCTACTATGCCATTTATTTGAATGACACTTCTCTAAAATCCACCATCATCTGGGGAGCATCTATGACTTGTGAGGTGTTACAGAAATACAGAAATGGAAAAAAACTTAGTCCCTGGGTTCAGAGTAAACAGTTTTAAAATAAAAGACCAACTGTCATGAGTTTTGCTTTCACTATAGAAAGCCTTAGTACCTATTAATGAAACTTCACATTTTTTTTTTTCCTGAAAGGTTCCACATGAAGTTAGTTAACACTCTGGTACCACTCACCAGCCATAAATCCTGCTTAATTTGTAAGGGAGGAGGTGTGGAAAGTTAAGTTAGCTAAAAACCAATTATCCTTCAAAGTCTAACTATGACCTTAACTTCAAGTATGCATTTCTTTCGACTTTCTCAGGTGCAATATCAGTCCCCATCCCGTGGAACAGAGGGAATTGCACTGACTTTTATTTTTAGTGTTTCTGTGAACCTGTGATTTGGCGCGCGAAACCACTGCCTTCACTCACCTCCCTTCCTTTCTTAGCGTTCTGGTAGTTGGTTTCGGGGTTTTTGTTGTTTGCTTGTTTTCCTATCTACTCACACTCACAGGACCAAGCCTGCCGCTGCCCTACATACAGTGGCACAGCCCTGCCTCCTTCCAGGGAGTCTGCTATGGAAGGGGCTCTGCCCCCGCGCCTCAGCCGTCCAGGAGCGCCAACCAGACACCACTACCCAGGAGGTTCCTCCTTTCAGCTGACATCACTCTCACAGAGAGGCGCATGCTGAGAAAAGGGACAGCGGGGACGACCCTCGGGGATACCTGAGGGTCACAGCTTGACTGGTGGAGTGGTCGCCTGATTCCGACCAGAGACTAACCCGAAAGGACATAGGAACTGGCCTTCTCCGCACCTCAAAAATAAAACCCCACATCATTTAAATATAGAAACGTTCTCAACGGTAACACTGCGAACAAAACCACTCACCGGCAAAAAGACCACCAGCACCAACTGCGGTTCCTCCGGGCCGCGAAGCCGGTAGCGCCTCCTAGAATTCATCTTTACGACCGGCATCGACGCTCTTTTCTAGCCCTGGAGCCAGACGGGGCAGGTCCTATGTCTCTGCCTATTGGAAAGGCAAGCTGTCGCTCATCCTTGGCTCCGCCCTACCCCCCGGGAATGACCACGGTCTTTTCCGTTCCCCAAATCCCAAGGGTAAGAAGCGAGGCGATGATTGGCTGTATGAGGAGACGAGCTCTCGTCTGGGCCAATAAGAATATGGTTTCAGAGCCGGTGGGCGGGCTTGGGCCTAGGGAAATGGAGAAACAAACCCTGGGCGTCGCCAAGGCAATAGGAAAACCCCGGAGCTTGCGGAGACCCAACGGTTTGAGATTCTAGAAAGTGTTTGGCGTCATTGGGAAACACCTGCCGAGGGAGAGAGGCGTTGGAGGAATCTTGGAATACATGAGGTGATATTCCTTTTATTCACGGGAAGTTTTCGGATTAAACCCTGGGGATGAAGCCAGGCAGGCATCGCAGAAGAAAGCTCCTTTATAACAAGCACTGGTGATTGTAACTCATAGATCGTGAATAAAAAGAAAGCTGCTCAGGTGCCCGATTTATAGGCAATAGCTCTCTCTTACTTTCTCTTACTGCTTTAAAGGCTCTCCTTTGGGTATTCCCTGAAAGATTTTAGCTGGGGAAGAAATGGTGAATGGAATTTCCTAAAAGCTTCTAGAACAGAGAATGGTAGGACGGCGTAGAATGGGAGAGAATTGTAAATTTGGAGGCCAAACAAGAGAAAACTATGAAAATGCTGGCTTGTCAGGCCCTGGAAGCTTCCAAGCAGGCTTGAATTTCCACACAAGGTTTGAAGCGTGTGTGTCAGAACTTTTGTCTGGGTGGGAAAGATAAGGAATGGTATTTTTGTCCAACCACATGGGAAGTTCCCCTTCTTGATTTTTAGAAGCTTTCCTGTCTATTATTTGGGATCCTTTGGATTTCTCCTGTTTCATTCTCAACAAGTCCAGTAGGTTTGTGACCAGCCAGCAGGTCCTCAAAGTAATTATGCATGTTTTTGAAAAGATAATCTTACCACGTTATTTTATTTCATTTTATTTTTTACTGTGACACATTATTATTTGATCCCTCCGTGGTTCTCAAAGAACAGACCTTTATTCCGGGAGAACAGGAAGCCAAGGTCCGACAGCTTCTCGTAGGTGATAACCCCCTACCTAGTGATAGTTGGATTTAAATCTGCCCAAGATTAACTAGAATTCAGGTCAACTAGAGGAGGCAGCTTCCAAATCCTAGACACTTGTCCATTTGCTGTTTTCCCTTCCTTCATACCACATGAGGATGAATTAAGGAAACAGCTTTTCAGATGCTGCAGTGTAATATGTCAAAGCTGATTATTCCACGTGCCAGCTATGTATACTGTGGAGGATAAAGACAGTCATTCAGTGGGCTGGGGTGTGTAGAGCGCTTTCCTAGCTTGTGGGAGGCACTGGGTTCAATTCTCAGCACCACATATAAATAAATGAATAAAATAAAGATCCATGAACATCTTAAAATAATTGTTTTAAAAAAGACAATTATTTAGAGGTGGGAGTGGTGACACATGCCTGTAATCCCAGCAGCTGGGGAGGTTGAAGCAGGAGGATTGTAAATTCCAGGCCAGTCTCAGCAATTTAGTGAGGCTCTAAGCAACTTAGTGAGACCCTATCTCCAAATAAAAATAAAAAGGTCTGAGGATGTAGCTCAGTGGTTAAGCACCCTTGAGTTCAATCCCTGGCACCAAAAAAAAAAAAAAAAAAGCCATTCTTAAGTGGCAAAGTCTTATGACATTTGACACTTAGGGATACTGACTCTGGACTTATGAACACTTGCTCATTGGATTTAATTTTGCTGCTGTTATGGATACCCATGGAATACTAGTTTGTCACATATAGCCTTAACAATATCAAACATGCCCTTTAGAATCATTCATAAGTTACTTTGGTGTAAGATGGAAGCAATTGCCAGTGATTCTGTTGGGTAGGAATTAAAAAGCAAATTTTAGTCAGGAGCAAGCGTGGTCTTTGTGACATAGATACACACAGAGACTAACAGAATTACAGTAGTCACTGTTTTCCTATGGCAGGACTGTTTCCATAGTTACCAGGATGTGATATGGTCATATCCTGGACCTTATGTTTTGATCTATTTGATGAAGCATGTCTCTTAGGAACTTTTAACTAGTGAGTTGTGACTCACAAAGTTTCTTAAACCCACCTAAGGCAGAGATGAATTCCAAAGGATTTTAGACTAATAAAGGGCCTTACAAAATAAACTCTAGCTCCTTGTTGTACAGGTAAAGAAACTGAAATTTAATGATTTGCTCCGAAGTTTTGGTTGGAAGCAGGGCTGGGACAAGGACCCAAGGTTGCTAATTTGTAATTTTAGTAAAATGTCCCCTCCTCCTGCTGCTTCTCTCCCAGTTCCTCTCCCAAAGCAATATATAGTTTTAAAACTCAAGATTATTCATTTTAACTTACGTTAAGACCAATTATGAGGAATTCAATTCTGATATAGTAGACATTAGGAAAATAACTTTTCTCACTACTTCAAACGACTTTTGATGTAATCCTGCTTTTATCCACACAAGAAATGAGAAAGCAATAAATTATTAAAGCCATGTTGTCTCTTTTTCTTTCTGTTATGTGTTAATATTTACCTATAATAATACTTGAAGGATTGTCTTGTTCATGACTTGAATAAAATACCATATTATGATAGTCAAAATAATTTTACAGCTATGTACACAGAGTCTTTAGCCTTTTCTAGGTTGAGCTGAACTGAGTCCATAAAGCATAAAAACACCATCCACTGACCTAGTCTATTCTACCTTTTCCTGGCCTGGCATAACCATTGTTTTTCTTCCTCCAGCAAACTCCAGAGTGAGTTAGACCTGTATCCCAGGTTCTGGACCGTCTCCTTGTCTTAACAATATCAGGATACATCATGAGCTTGTTTTTTGCTGCTGGTATCTTGTCTCCCACCACACCCACTACCTTTTTCAAAGTTAGATCAAAGTCTGCTACCCTTAATTTAGTGTAAATCAGCCAATGTTTATCTGGCCCCCACCATGAACCTACTTAATACAAGTCCCCCGCCCTTGCTAAAACTGGAAACTAGAAGTACTCTTACAGAGCATACACACACGCACAACTAGCTTAAGCTGGGCTGACCCGCTTGCCTGCATTTTCTCAGCAGTCTCTTAACAAGTATTTCTAAATCCACTTTTACTCTCTTTTAGGAAGCCAGGGTGATATTGGTAGAATATCTTTGTGATTGTGTCACAAGTAACCCTCCCATCTTCTCCTATTATAGAACAGTGGCCTCCCATTGCTCCTCTTTCCCTCCCCAAACCACCCCACCCCGTGGTCCTAGGGATGAACCTGGAGGCTCTGTACTACTGAATCACATCTCCAGCCTTTTATGTTTAATTCTGAGACAGGTTCTTGCTAAGTTGCTTAGGGCCTCCCTAAATTCCTGAGGCTGGCTTTGAACTTGTTTTCCTTCAGCCTCGGCCTCCCAGCCAGTAAGATTACGGTTTATGTCACCACACCTGGCTCCAGCCCTGTTTAATTTATTATTTTGGGACAAGATTTTGCTGAATTGGTCATGCCTATCTTGAGCTTGAAATCCTCCTGCCTCAGCCTCCAGAGGAGCTGGGATAATACACCTAACCCTATTGGTTCTCACATTGAGCTTCTTCTTTCCCATGGTCAGTCGGCCTTTTCACATGTATTTTCCCTATCTATCTACCCCACTCCCTTGGTTTAATGAACCTGCTATTCAATATTTCAATATTAGTTGAGTGATCTTTTCTCTAGGTAAACTTATTCCTGCCTGGATTGTATCTCCTAGGTTAATTACATATGGTAACGGTATCATGCACATCTTCTTCCTAGAACTTTACATACATATATTTACATTGTACATTATCTGTCCCTTGTGGTCTGCAAGCTACCTTAATATATGAATCCTATTGGTTTAGTTTACAACTGGTCCACATTATTGGGTATCAGGAGCTCAATAAATGCATGCATCAGGGAAAGAGAAGATTATGCTCCCTCCACCTTTTCTCACTAGAACTTCATACAAATAAATAAGCACATGTCTTTTTAAAAAATTATCCATTCAGATCCTAGGAGCTTGTTGAGATAAATTATGATACATGCACACGCACAAACACTTATAAGAACTAATATTAAATTTTATATGTGTAGACTCAAACTGTTAGATCTGAAAGAAACTTGAGAAATCATATAATTTATATCCCATATTTTTTCTTTCCTTTTTTTTATGTGTGTGGGTCAGGATACTAGAAATGGAACCCTGGAGTGCTCTACCACTGAGCCACTTTTTCAGCCACTTTTATTTTTTATTTTGAAACGGTTGCTAAGTTGCCCAGCCTGACCTCAAACTTGTGATCCTTCTGCCTCAGCCTCCCAAGTATCTGGGAGTGGTTACAGGTATGCACCACCTTGCTCATCTGAAATCAAATTCTTTAGCTTACACAAAAGTGAGAATTTGTGATATTTGTCTTTTGGAGCCTGGTTTATTTCATAACATAATGACCTCAGTTCTGTCCGTTCACCTCCCTTTATTTTATATTTGAGAAGAACTGAGGCCCAAAGTGGTTGAGAGAATTGCTTGTGAACAAGAGCACTTAAAACTCAGAATGAGAATGAAAGTTTCCTAACTCTCAGGTTGAATCTCAAGTGCAAATGTTTTACTGCGGACTAATAATGATACACCAGGGGCACAATGGGACTTATGGGTTCAAAGAAGTACAACATTGCAGTGGGTAAGGGGTGTGGACTCTACTCTGTACCAACCATGTGATCTCAGGCAAGTTGTTTAACATCCTTGCCTTATTTCTTTGGCTGTATAAAGGGCATAATGGTAGCTACCTTATAGTTATTGTGTATTTTAAAGAGTTTATATATGAAAAGAGTTCAATAAATTTTAACTTTAAAAAGTTTCAGTGATAGGGCTAGGGTTGTGGCTCAGTGATAGAGCGCTTGCCTAGCACGTGTGAGGCACTGGGTTCAATTCTCAGCACTGCATGTCCATCTGCATGTCCATTTCCTACATCTAGGAAAAAAATATTCAAAAAAAAGTTTCAGTGATAGACTAAGGACCCAACTGGGAACTCAGTTGGTAGAGTGCTTGCCTTGCATACATAAGGCCCTGAGTTCAATCCCCAGCGCCACATACACACACATCAAAAGGACCCAATATAATTTCTTATGTATAGAATGAAATCACCTTGTCAATTTTTTCTTCTAGGGAAAAACAAATATAGCATGCAACTGGGAGGCCCTCTTAGGGCAATGAAAGGCTGGTTCTAGCAGATAAGGTTTCAGCAACTGCGCTAGGTAGAGAAAGGCATATGATCGCTTAGTCAAAACAAGTGCTG